GCGACAGAGCCTGGACTCGAACCATGATCTTTAGTGGCACAGCTATCACTGCGATGCAGTGCCTTAGACCACTGCGCCACTCGAGAGGCCCAAAGCCACTCCTGCGTTGTCTTGGCTGTGTGCTTAGGGTTGTTGACCTGTTGGAAGGTGAACCTTTGCCCCAGTCTGAGGTCCTGAGCGCTCTGGAGCAGGTTTTCATCAAGGATCTCTCTGTACGTTGCTCTGTTCATCTTTGCCTCGATCCTGACTAGTCTCCCAGTCCCTGCCACTGAAAAACATTCCCACAGCATGATGCTGCCACCACCATGCATCACCGTAGGAATGGCGCCAGGTTTCCTCCAGACATGATGCTTGGCATTCAGGCCAAAGAGTTCAATCTTGGTTTCATCAGACCAGAGAATCTTGTTTCTCATGGTCTGAGAGTCCTTTAGGTGCCTTTTGGCCAACTCCAAGCGGGCTGTCATGTGCCTTTTACTGAGGAGTGGCTTCCGTCTCGCCACTCTACCATAAAAGCCTGATTGGTGGAGTGCTGCAGAGATGGTTGTCCTTCTGGAAGGTTCTCCCATCTCCATAGAGGAACTCTGGAGCTCTGTCAGAGTGACCATCGGGTTCTTGGTCACTTCCCTGACCAAGGTCCTTCTTCCCCGATTTCTCAGTTTAGCCGGGTGGCCAGCTCTAGGAAGAGTCTTGGTGGTTCCAAACTTCTTCCATTTAAGAATGATGGAGGCCACTGTTCTTGGGGACCTTCAATGCTGCATACATGTTTTGGTACCCTTCCCCAGATCTGTGCCTCGACACAATCCTGTCTCAGAGCTCTACAGACAATTCCTTCGATCTCATGGCTTGGTTTTTGCTCTGACATGCACTGTCAACTGTGTGACCTTATATAGACAGGTCTGTGCCTTTCCAAATAATGTCCGATCAATGGAAACATAATGCACCTGAGCTCAAACTTGAGTTTCATAGCAAAGGGTCCGAATACTTATGTAAATACGATATTTCTGGTTTTTTATTTGTAAAATAATTGCTAAAATGTCTAAAAACCTGTTTTCGTTTTGTCATTATTGGGTATTGTGTGTAGATTGATGAGGATTTTTTTTTTGTATCCCTTTTAGAATAAGGCTGTAATGTCACAAAATGTGGAAAAAGTCAAGCGGTCTGAATACTTTCCGATTGCATGTAATGTATATAAAACACAGGAAAAACACGTTTTTGATTGCGCTGGGCATTTAATGTGTTTCATAACTACTTCTATACTATCTAAATTTTTTGACAGTTGGGTTATTAATTAAGATCCTATTCCCCCGGGAATTAGAAAAATAAGGCTTTGCCCAAGTGCACAGTTTCACAACTGATGAACTCAGAGGCAGATAATCTCAATAATTAATATCTAAATTAATTAGTTCAACTTCAGTCTTGTGATGAGAAAGAGCGGAGTTTGCACATTGCTGACATGGGGAGTGACTTCAGTGCAAAGTAGTTTGGTTATCAGTTCTCTCGCAGAGGGAACTTAACGTCACAGTGGAAGGATAGCATAGATTGACGACATCCCCGCTGACTCCTGACACAACCTAAAATAGGCCTGAAAGCATGAGCAATTGCTGTCATGTACAACAAACATAATGATATTGTACATAATTTCTTATGGATAAGTTGTTTGAGTATGGAAACTAAAAGTGAACGATTGAATTGCTTTCAAGTGATGTCATATCCAGTAAATATGAATAGGTCAATGAGCATCAATTGCAACAAGATGGTCTAAACATAACTGTAGTAAAATATAGTTCCACAATTGAACTTCCTCATATTACTTGTAGTTATGTCCACACATCACATAATAATGATGGCATTGCAGCTATTAACATTTTTCATCCTCCGCATGCCTGAGCCTAGGAAATCCTAGATTGTGCAAACCATTTGGGCGGATGTGAGTTGATCATTTCAACACCACAGTATCAATGCGTATTAACAGGCACTGACCTCAGAGCCAGTAAAGGGTGGTGACTTTCTAACAGTTCATAAGAATTATATGCACAGGATGTGTGTTAAGATAAGAGCAGTATGCCTGAGCTCTCTAGGGCACAGAATGTCAAGGACTGTTCAAAAATGGACATTAACACAACAATGAATCCTTATAAGCAGATGGGGATATAGGGGTTATGAAAAGGTGAAAAGGGACAGTCAGTTAGGTTAAAGTATCTGGGGAGGGAAGAGACTTTATGATACAATGGAGAGACTGCTACGATGAATAAGTTATTTCCAATAACAGGTTTGCATGTTATGTGGAAAAATATTTTGTATATTGAAACATTATCTTGACTGTTTACTGCTGAAATTTTGGAACAGTTCCAAATCATATTTCAATTTCAAGTTTATCATGTGGCAGCATGCCTTTGGGGAAGGTTTACCACATTAAATACTAAGGGAGTGTGCCTAACTTCACTTAAAATAGTGAACTCTTTTCATGCAAGAACTTCTCTCATGTGAGCACTATCAACATACTGTGCACGTTGCCCAGATTCTGTTGCTATCGAGCCATCACAAATACCTTGTGACAAATACCTTATGTGATATACAGCATGTCGTTTTTTATTCTATTTTTGAGCCAGGTTTCTCGGGCAGCTGTAAATGTAAAGAGGACAGCTGTCACCAATCTACTGAGGTTTTAATGAGTTTGAAGTGAATGCCCTTGAAGTTACCCAAGAGTCTTTGTGTCAGCGAGGGCCGATCCCACTGAGCTGGGCTTGCCCTCATTTTACTGTAAACGATGGAATGTTTCCATGACAATGGAACACACAACCTCAGAGAGTGACTCACAGCCAAAATATTGGATGGTGGTTGAGATAGTATGGACACCATTCCTGTTCAATGTTTTTACATGACCTCAGTCTATGTCTTTGTATTCTGAGGCTACCCACTGGGCACAGACGTCGATTCAACATCTATTCCACGTTGGTTCAACGTCATTTGGAAACAACGCTGATTCAACCAGTGTGTGCCCAGTGGGTAGTATGTCTCATAAGAGTCACCCGTGTGGACAGGTTTCTCTTCAACAAGCCTCCCAAAGATTTTGATGTATTCAAATGACTTTGCCTAAATAACTACAAGTTTTGTCACTTGTTTAGACAAAAATAAATAAAAATAAATACATTACTTGAACCACAAAATCAATATGCAGAACCTGTCTGACCTGTACAGGTTCTCCTTGTCATCTAGTTCAGTGGTTCCCAGACTTTCGGGCGCGAGTGGTCGGCAGGGGGGGTGCGGGGTCCCCCCCCCAAAAAAAGGAACTCAGTCTGGCATTCAACTAAGAATGCACATGGTGCAATTTCTAAATTGGGTAGTACATCATCAGTTTCCTCTTGTCATCTCAGTCATTGCATACATTACAGAGCTATTTAAAACTTGTCAAATGTCCAGATCAGATGTCAGCTAACGTTTTATAGATAGGTTTTTTAGCCCATATATTTTGTAGTAAGGTTTGAGTCACTCAAATGTCACATGAATACACATTAAACATGGCAAAATGTATAGAATTGCAAGGAAATTTGCTTTCAAATGGCAACATTTTCTCTGCACCCCATGACAAAATTTGTAAAATTGCAGGAAATAAGCATTAAACCTGCAAAATGTTCTCTCTGCCAACAAGAGGTGTGTGAACAGTTTGCGTCATGAACAGTGCTTGTGCCCATAGAAATAGACGTGACGCGAGTGCAGTGGGGCGCGGGATGTTCCCCAATGCTGGAAGGGGGGCCTGAGTGAAAAAGTTTGGGAAACCCTGATAAAGTATGATAAATATTGTTCAACTTCATGGTAATGAAATGAATGTTAGCCAACCAGTTCTTTCAGTTTTCTCATTTTAGAGAATGGACAGTGCCAGCCCAATGAGATTTTAAGTGGACGGAAAGGATTCACCTTCTTTTTTTCTTTTTGAGTGCTATGGGGACACCCATGAGTGTCTCTAATAAATCTGTTTGTGTTTATAAACACACCGTCAGGGATATTTCTTCTAAAGACGTTCTACTTACCATGGCAACGGTGCAGTTTTGGAGACATCTCCACCAGTTTAGGGGAGGATACACCCTAGATTTCTCAAACTGTGGAAAAAAGCTCAGCTATTCCTATGCAGGAAATTGAAAATACTGTAACGACCCGGTTGTTTAGTTTTAAAGCGTTTGAGATTCTTCATGTAATCTAAAAATAAATATATTATTATTATTATTAATGACCATTGTAATATGCAAAGTATATAACATAGAGAATATAGGGTGTTTAACAAAGCCTGCCCAAATCCCTGACCTCTATCCTGTGCAGTTTCAAGCGCAGGAAGCACAATAAGACACGTTGACAGATCAAGTGCATCCCTTATCTTCAGTTGAGCCAACCGAAACTCATACTTGTCCACAGATCACAAGGCAGGGGAGTATGGAAACTGTTCAGTGATGTGGTCAGTTAACCCATAGCTTTCTCCACGTCAGTCAAAAATACACGGAACTCCATTTCCCGTTCTATGTTATCTCCTCTAGGCCTGCTTCAGAAACATCATATTCTTTATTTATTAATGATTAATTATAATACTGCATTACTATAATTTATTATTAGTTTATCACCTGTAAGTTATGATTAGGCTATAATTATTCAGATGCACTCCTATATAGAGTTCGCGAAATGAATAAGCAACTAGACTAGGCTGTGGCATTGAAATCAATACACAGGGGTGTGGTGTCCAAAGAAGTGGAACGAGTAACAAAGATTAACGGGCTCTGGGCGGGGCAGAGCAACTCTGCGCGAGTGTTTCGGTCGTCACTAGTTACCACAGCCACAAAGTCATAAACCATATCTTCTTAAAATGTGATTTATAACATACCCCTAACCACACTGCTAACCTTATTCCTAACCCTACCCTTAATTTAAGACCAAAAAGCACATTTTTGTTTTAATTAATTTTTTTACGATATGGCTCCGGTATTGACTTTGTGGCTGTGGTAACTAGTGGAAACTGGTGTTACGTGAAGTGCTACCGTGTTGCTATGGTTGCTAGAAAGTGAAAAGATCATCAAGCGACAGTTGAAGTCGTCCATGGACTGATAAGCCAGCCAGCTAGATAGTACCAACAAGATCAGAGAGAAATTGTTAAATCGAGAGACCGACTTGTCTTCACATCAATTCGACTTTAAAAAGGACTGCCAGTATAATGTTTTATTCAAGTTCATGGTCCAAGTGCTTGATATGCCTTATCTTTATAACAAGTGGAAATGGTGAGTAAATTTTTAGCCATGGTAACGTTAACATGGTAGCTTACTGTACAGTAAACGTTTGCTAGCTAACGTTAATACGTTTTAGCCGTATGTTTCGGTTACAAATAGACACTTTTCTAACTTGAACTGGCCAACGTAACTCTCACTGTGTGTGTAGTTGACATATTGTACTGTATCATATCCTCACAGCTGAGTGTCCCAAACCTCAAGTAGAGGGAAATTTTGTTCTAACGAATGATGCGCTCTTAAAAAACGATTTTCCGGAGGGCACGGAAGCCACTTTTGAGTGTGCCAACGGCTACTTGAAAGAGCAAGGATCTGAAAGGATCACCTGCACAAGTGGAGAGTGGAGCACGCTCGAATTAACCTGCAAAAGTAGGCGGCAAAACACTAGTCCTCTTCTCTATTTTTCTGTCAAGCCCGATTTTTATTGCGTGTTTACTGTTGTTTGATTGTTTGCTGCTGCCATTAATTTAGCTCGCTGATTATTCATTTCAGAGAAGGACTGTGGTGCCCCCAGGAAGATAGCACATTTGACTTATGAGTTTGGTGAGGAAGGCACACTTTTTGGTGCATCAGCAAAGGCAATCTGTGATAAAGGGTGAGTATGCTTCATCATGTATCTAATGTATCATCAGCGTATGTGGGAATTATTTTGCCAAAAGATTCAATGCCAGAGGCTGGTAACTCTAATGAACTTATCCTCTGCAGCAGAGGTAACTCTGGGTCTTCCATTCCTGTGGCAGTCCTCATGAGAGCCAGTTTCATCATAGCGCTTGATGGTTTTTGCAACTGCACTTGAAGAAACGTTCAAAGTTCTTGAAATGTTCCATATTGACTGACCTTCATGTCTTAAAGTAATGATGGACTGTTGTTTCTCTTTGCTTATTTGAGCTGTTCTTGCCATAATATGGACTTAGCCCTATTTGGTAAAATACCATATTCTGTACCCCCCCCCCCCCCCCCCCCCCCCCACCTTGTCACAACACAACTGATTGGCTCAAATGCATTAAGAAGGAAAGAAATTCAACAAATTAACTTTTAAGAAGGCACACCTGTTAATTGAAATGCATTCTAGGTGACTACCTCCTGAAGCTGGTTGAGAGAATGCCAAGAGTGTGCAAAGCTGTCATCAAGGCAAAGGGTGGCTATTTGATGAATCTCAAATCTAAAATATATTTTGATTTGTTTAACACCTTTTTGCTTACTACATTATTCCATATGTGTTATACATGTTACAATGTTACATGTTACAATGTAGAAAATAGTAAATATAAAGAAAAACCCTAGAATGAGTAGGTGTGTCCAAACTTTTGACTGGTACTGTACATATACACTAGATGGCTGATGAGGGGTGCTGTGTTGAAGTCACCGTGCCTCCATCTTGGCACTCCCCCACCACTGTAAAAAATATTTTGGAAGCTATAGAAATTCATTTATTAAAGATGAACTGAAACATTTTAGTAAGTTAAGGCCATTTTGATAACCAAATGTGATAAAGAAGCATGTTCCTACCCTTAAAACTGCTGAAAGATTGTGAAATCCCTGAGCGGTTTCCTACCTCCTCTACCAATAGGTGCCCTTCTTTGCGAACCCTGGTCTTTGTTGTTGAATCTGTGCTTAAAATTCACTGCTCGACTGAGGGACCTATTGGTGGGGTAGTCATTTAAAAATAATTTGTTAAGCAAATTTGTACTCCTGAACTTATTTAGGCTTGCCATAACAAAAGGGTTGAATGCATATTGTGTCAAGACATTTCAGCTTTTTCGTTTTTAATTAATTTACAAATGTTTCTAAAAACATAATTCCACTTTGACATTATGGGGTATTGTGTCTAGATCAGTGACTCAAAATCTCAATTTAATCCATTTTAAATTCAGGCTGTAGCACAACAAAATGTGGAAAAGGTCAAGGGGTGTGAATACTTTCTGAAGGCACTGTACTATAGAACTGCATTCATTCCTATGGAGGACTGCTCCTACTGGGGAGTGCAAATATGGCTGACCTTAGGCTTCAAAGCCTCTCAATGGCCAATAGATGGCATCAGCAATCCAGGGTTTATATATATCATTGACCACCTCTCACATGCTCTCTCCCCCTCTTCTAGTTATCAACTTATGGGCTCAAGTTACAGGCAATGTTATGCCAACGGTTGGAGTGGGAGACCAAGATGTGAAGGTAAATCTCCCATATTTGCCATTGACACACTTGGAAATCTATGCATGACTCCCTGTCAAAGCATGACTCCTTGTCAAAATAAATGTTAAATAAAATACAAATAAGGCATAGAACTTGTTTGAATAAAGAACACAAATATAATGCACCCATGTATGTGTCTTCCTCAGTGGTAACTTGTGAAAAACCTATTGAGATAAAGAATGGCACGATCACAGAGCAGCCTGACAAAGAGTTTCCAGAGTATGGTGGTGTCATACAGTACTCCTGTGATGAAGGTTACACCCTCATTGGAAACAAATCCATTGAGTGCAATGAAGATGGTGAATACAACTCAGTCCCTCCTGAATGTAAAGGTATGGATTCCATTTATGTTTGATAAATTATCTGCCAACTGTTATGGGTTATATGCTTTACAGAGGATACATAATAAACAGTTGAAGTTAATCAATTTGGTGTAGGTCCACCTTCACCCTACATCTAGACACTGCAGGCATGTATCAGACTATGATAAGGAACATTGTCATTGATCTTCCTTCTGTAAATCCCTGTCAGTGTAATATGTAACAGTGGTGTACACTTATTACAAATGAAAGCACTGCATGAAGGTGCAATACTGAATAAGCATTGTACATTTATATTTCAAAGATGGCAATGACATTCCTTTGAAACCAACAACAACTATATCAACAACATCAATAACAACAACAACAACATCGACTGTTCCACCCATAATACGAGGTAGAGGAAATCCAAGTAATTCTATCCCAGTGTAATCAAGGGCTTGATAAATAGTTGAATTTGGTATTTGCAGTTTCAGGGAGTAACAGTGGTGTACACTTATTAAAAATGAAAGCACTGCATGAAGGTGCAATACTGAGTAAGCATTGTACATTTATATTTCATAGATGTCGATGACATTCCTTTGAAACCAACAACAACTATATCAACAACATCAATAACAACAACAACAACATCGACTGTTCCACCCATAATACGAGGTAGAGGAAATCCAAGTAATTCTATCCCAGTGTAATCAAGGGCTTGATAATTAGTTGAATTTGGTATTTGCAGTTTCAGGGAGGAATAATGGCATTGGTGAACATGACACCAATGCAGCTACTGGTGAGTTAAGTTGATTCAAGTGATTATTATTTGATTATTATTTTGACACAGATTTTTATAGCTCATATTTGACAAAACAACACTGAATCTCTCTTTCAGGGAATGCAGCAGTTGTGGGAAGTGTGATCGGCACTGTCATAGGTAAGAAATCCATCATTTGAAATAATCACAAGTGAGAGGGGGGATATTTGTTTCTCATACACTTTTTGATGAAGAAGCTGTTGAGTTCAAGGATATGTTCTAACTAAACTGGATACTTTGTTTTATACTGTACTGGGGAAAACATTCCCATCTGTGGCCCATCAGGAATTTCCTCCACATTACTTGATTTGTTACACTAGTAGGCCTAGTACAACTTCTGACTTTCCAATGTTACCATGTTTATCAGATGTGTTACACTTTCTCTTAACAATTTGAAGATCATACAGTGGACTCATTATTGATTCCTCATCTTTTGCAGTTACACTTATTGTGCTGTTCACACTATATCGTTTTTATAAGAGGAAAGGGTGAGAACCTACATTTAATCATTTATCTTTTAGAAAATAGTCCATGATTTAAGCATGATTTCACCTACAACTAAATCACAGCTATTCTTTTCCTCCTACTAACTATACTGTATGTGCATTAACCACAGCTTCTGGCAACTGAATTTACACCGTCATTAAACCAACAAATTATTTGGATAAACTAGCCATACAGCTTGCCAATTAATTGACCTAAACAATATTTGTTAACAAAACTTTACTTACATAACCCATCAACTAACATTCAGTCTGGCCATGGGCATTTATACTGTATTTATGTATTCCCTACAGTATCCGTGATTTGCATGATCAAACTTTTTGCTGGATATTTCTCCAACTTGCTGCTGTACAGCGATGGTTGCTTTTCCCTGTTTTGGCCAATTTTTCCTGCTGGGTGTTGAAAAATCAAGGAAGTCAGGAAATCCTTTGCTAAGGCACTCTCGGACAGACATATTGGCTTTGAAAAAGAGAATGGAGTATGTTGTTCTAAAGGGAGGTGGGCTAGTAGGCTAGGCCTACCATGCACAGTGCTGAGCTGACCAGCTGACTAACTGCCTACCACACTGGAACACAAAAGCTACCCAACTAAACACTACTAAGATACTGAGATTGGCATGTAGAATATATTTCCTTACTGCACTATTATTTATATGTAAACATGATAATCCTGACAAAATGTCATTGTTTGAAATTGTTACATAGCTCATACCAGACGGGAGAAGACCCAAGTCGAAAAGAGGAGTTATTACAATTTAAAAATAACTAAGTTGAATGCCTACCCAAGGTACCTACCGTTCATACATATCATTATATTAAACCCATTATTCAAAAATATGTCCCCAGTCTTTTAACCAAAATCTCACTCATATGACTATAGAGTTTGTGGTTGTCTTTGAGTTTGAGTAATCTAAATAGTGACACTATTGTTAAAACTGCTGCATTGAGTCAATGCTTTGTCTAAAATATCTAATTTCTTTCCAGGGCTAGGACTGCTCCTATCTGCTAGTCTGCATCTGTAGCCTTGAAAAGAAGTGCCAGTGCCCAGCAGATTGTTTCTCTGACCATTTCCTGGTTGGACAAAGCCACTTAATCTACAGTGCCCTTTACGCATGTGGCATTACTGAATGGAAGGTATAATTGCACTTTTTTATGAAGTTATATGAAATCGTTTTTGAAAGTCACTTCAGCGGAAATGTTTTAACCCAATGTTCAAAATGCGGTATTATTTTTTATGTATTTATATAGAAAACTGGAATATGCGTAATTGTCTTTTCAACTACCATGTTTGACTACAGATTGCTAGCTTGCTCTGTTGTGTGGGCAGAAGCCCCTGTAATAAGATGAATGCACTAAACAAAATTTATGATTGAGAAAATTCCCAGGCTGATAATCACTGACCATTCCTAAAAGTGTGCTTACTGATCGTGGCTCACATGAAAATAACAATAAGGGACGGTTTCCTGGACCCAGGTTAAGTCTACTGTATTCCTTTTCAAGTAGGCTTAATCTGGGTCTGGCAAAGCAGCTCTTCATGTTAATTTCCTGCAGCCCCAAATGTCACAAAATAATGTCAATCTTATATATGTAGAGGTTTTGTACTTTGATTTTATAGTGTGTATTGTGTAATTTAAGAGATCAAATCATTTTATGATAACTGCCTTTTCTCCTTCTTTGAGACACATTTGTGTAAATATGAAAGTATGTACATTGTCAAAAATCAGTGTTTGGTAGGTTAGTTTGTAAATGTTACTATACTATATCCCAGAAATGTTCCATATGCACAAAAAGCTTATTTCTCTCAAATGTTGTGCATCAATTTGTTTATATCCCTGTTAGTGAGCATTTTTCCTTAGCCAGATAATCCATCCACCTGACAGGTGTGGCATATCAAGAAGCTGATTAAACAGCATGATCATTACAAAGGTGTACCTTGTGCTGGGGACAATAAAAGGCCACTCTAAAATGTGCAGTTTTGTCATTCAACACAGTGCCACAGATGTCTCAAGTTTTGAGGGCGCTTGCAATTGGCATGCTGACTGCAGGAATGTCCAACAGAGCTGTTGCCAGAGAATTGAATGTTAATTTCTCTACCATAAGCCGCCTCCAACATTGTTTTAGAGAATTTGGCAGTACATCCAACCGGACTCACAACCGCAAACCACGTGTAACCACGCCAGCCCAGGACCTCCACATCCGGCTCCTTCACCTGCGGGATTGTGTGATGTGGGGGTGCTGAGGAGTATTTCTGTCTGTAATAAAGCCCTTTTGTGGGGAAAAACTAATTCTTATTGGCTGGGCCTGGCTCCCCAGTGGGTGGAACTGGTTCCCAAGTGCGCCCCTGCCCAGTCATGTGAAATCCATAGATTAGGGCCTAATATATATATATATATATATATATATATATATATATATATATATATATATATATATATATTATACTACAGATAATAATATGATTAGGCTATATCTTTACATAAAACAAAAAGTAGTCTGTCAGATTTCCAGTCATTCCAATTAATTGAATACCCCTTGATCTTCAAGAATAGGACTTGGAAATATAGATTAGCCAAACTGTTTTACATGAGTTAAGGATTTATTAGCCTACTCTGTTGTTTATGATTATGTTGTCATGGAGGGCTGATTGGGCTCATTGCTTCGAGTTGAAAAATAAATGCTGCTTTCAGAATGGCATGCTTTAAAGGGGAATGGAAACACTAGGATTTAGAACGCCAGCTAACTAACAGTAAATCGCCATATTGGCATTGTTGTGTCACTGGCAGGAGAGAACATTTTGGAACTCCCAAAAATGGCTGAATTTACCGAGTGGCTCCGAGTCTGAGTTTATTACAGAGAATGAAATAATGTTAGTTAGGGAGCCAATAAACCTACTGAAGCCATTCATGTTTGAGCCGATCGTTTACCCACATCAAAGTGTTCGTTCTCGTAGCAGTAACAACACAGATATGCCGCCTGAAACACCTCAACTAGAGGGTCGGCGTAGCGGTGACACAAACTGGTGCGAGTCCGGGTCTTGTCAGTCTGTCTGGATGGCGATGTTTTTATTGCACGTGTCACTCATTTTTATTAAGGACTTCCTGGCAGAAGATGTTATTCGACCAGTCAGCAGCCGATATGCCAGTGAAATAATTGCAAAAATTTTGCTCGATTATAAATTCTTTAAAGTTAATAGTAGTGGGTAGGTGCTCAATGTATATATATAACATCAGTATTCTATAACGATGTAACACATTTACCTTTTGATTAGACGACCGGAGTTCGAATCGCAGACAGCATCATGATTCATTAAATCTCATTCTAACCAATAATGGGGAGTGCTCATTATAAATACATTGTGATTTAGTTGCGGTATCAGACTCACTTTTCTTTAGATTTTGTTGCAGAGCATACAGGCTGACAGTTAACCGCCAGTTCACCCAATGGGCACAAGGGAGAATTGGACGAGGTGTACGACGTCTCATCCCTGCGTGTGTCGTTTCTTCCATAAGGAGCGCATACCCAGAAGCAAAGGCATTTTTGTAAGGTTTGAGCTGGAATAGAACCACTTCAGGTAGCTTAGTGGTTAAGAGCGTTGTGACAGTAACCGAAAGGTCGCTGGTTCTAATCCCCGAGCCGAATAGTTGAAACATCTGTCGATGTGCCCTTGAGCAAGGCACTTAAACCTATTTGCTCCTGTAAGTCGCTCTGGATAAGAGCGTCTGCAAAAAATTTAGTAAATCTAGCCTGCTGTAATCTTTTTCAAGACATAGACCTAATGCCTGCGCCTTATGTAAAAATAGTATTGGTTAGCTTGTCCACTATAACAACCTGTTCAAGCGTAACCAGATAAACTTGCTTTGAAGATAAAACTACCAGTGTCCCTGTCGCAAGAGTAGTGACTTCAGCGTTGGCTGCCATCTATTGCAAAGGAATGGTAACTGCACTCGGCAGCTAGTTGGCAGAGTCAAAGTATACTTTAATAATATATGCCATTTAGCAGACGCCTTTATCCAAACGAACTGGGTACATGGTAGTGGAAACAGATCATAGAAACAGGATTACAATTTTGATATCATGGATGGTCAGTCCTTGCATCTATAGCTCTGTCTATGAATTTGAGAGTGGTTACATTTCTCCAGCCCCATCCCTCAGCTTTTTACCGAAAGAGGAGCAGGGAGACACTGTGTTATTGTTTCTACTACTGATTGCCACTTTAAGAAGTTAAGATGCAGATGAAATACACACCCAAATATGTTACAGATACTATAAAAATGTCCCATCACTCAGTTAGTGAATACACAGCATCCAGCACAGCAAACAATCAATCAAATGTATTTGACAAAAGCCCTTTTTACATCAAAATAATAACCACAGTGGTTATAGAGGGTGCAACAGTTCAACACCTCAGGCGCAAATGTCAGTTGGCTTTTCATAGCTGAGCATTCATAGCTTGAGACTAGAGAGAGAGACTCAAAACAGCAGGACCGGGACAAGGTAGCACATCCGTTGAAACGGGTAAAGAAATCAGTGGGAAAACAATTCCACTCCGATTCACTTTATGGATGGGTGTATCTTTGAATTCGCTGTTGAATGGCCTGCTCCTTCTCCATTTTCGGAACACCAGCCCGCTCCCCCAAAGTGATTGATAGTATATCTTGGCTCGCACTGTGATGATTGTGATTCTGAGCTCTCAGGTTCATACAGCGAGTTATGGTCTTCACTGATCTTACTCTCCGTCAGCTCCATCTGTGGCGTATAGGGGCAGGACTCGGTTGTATACTGATGGTCGTGAGCGCAATCTAGCTGGGCCCTGAGCTCTTTAGTGATGGTCCCGGTGGATGATGTCAGCGATGTTGATGATGGTCGATCGGTAACCCCTACACCATAACCCTCGAAATGTAAAATGGAGGCGCAAGCAGAGGGCTTCTATGTAGCCCTATGACTCCTTTCCATTCGGAAACTCCCAGTTGCCGCATCGAAAGTGCCATTCTTCGTGAAGTCGTCCTCCGCGAAGTGCTGTCTGCAGATCCTGCTAGCTCGAGCCACTTCTTCAAAAGTTGTGGGTCCTTGGGCAGCCGATGGTAGTTTACCGAGGGATTTTTTTTAGCCATTTCATACAGCCTGGCGCTATACAGTTCATGTTTGAATTACTACTTGTTGTTGCCATCTTCGTTGTCTGCACCTAACCTCACTGTCTACGATTCACTCTCCGTGCGAAAACTCAATACCACAGACAATTTGATGATTCCCGCCAGTGACGGGCTGGCGTCAGTCGTTACTATGGCAATTAAAAATGCAGCTGACCATAGCTCAAATAAACCTTATTGACGATCAAAATACTAAATATAGAGATGTTTTTATGTTAAATGCACATGTTTAGTATTAGTGGATTGAATACATCTCTTTGCTTAGATTTACTTTCGAAAGTGTTTCCATTCCCCTTTAAGCACTACCGAAAAGTGCTATTTACATGTGAAAAATGTATGCCATATTCTGCATTTGCAATAGGCCTATTGTAAAAAAAAAATGGTTGGTGACACTTTGATATCTTCATAATTTGCATCTGTTTTAAGTCTATCAAAAGTTTACGAGTTTGAGCATGTGTCCGTTAGGACTATGGACATCTTCTTTTTCATCAGCATGAATTAGATTGAGCAATTTTGTTCAGTTTCACTCCACAATACTTGCATGTTTTGGAATATTTTTATTCCGTACAAGCTTCCTTGTTTTCACTCTGTCATTTAGGTTAGTATTGTGTAGTAACTACAATGTTGTTGATCCATCCTCAGTTTTCTCCTATTACAGCCATGTAACTGTTTTAAAGTCATCTTTGGCCTCATGGTGAAATCCCTGAGCGATTTCCTACCTCTCCGGCAACTGAGTTAGGAAGGATGCCTGTATCTTTGTAGTGACTGGGTGTATTGATACACCAAAGTGTAATTAATAACTTCACCATGCTTAAAGGGATATTCAATCATAGCCGCGGGAAGTAGGGCTGCTGAGGGTGCTGCAGCACCCCCTGATAAATAAATACAAATATATAATATTATATATTCCCCCCATACACACAAAATGTGTGAACTAGACCTTTATTACTCCACCCAACACAAGGTATGCCATGAAAAACGACGGGGACGAAGCCCAAATCAAACACGTATATACACTACCGGTCAAAAGTTTTAGAACACCTACTCATTCCAGGGTTTTTCTTTATTTTTCCTATTTTCTACATTGTAGAATAATAGTGAAGACATCAAAACTATGAAATAACACATATGGAATCATGTAGTAACCAAAAAAGTGTTAAACAAATCCAAATATATTTTATATTTGAGATTCTTTAAATAGCCACCCTTTGCCTTGATGACAGCTTTGCACACTCTTGGCATTCTCTCAACCAGCTTCACCTGTAATTCTTTTTCAACAGTCTTGAAGGAGTTCCGACATATGCTGAGCACTTGTTGGCTGCTTTTCCTTCACTCTGCGGTCCGACTCATCCCAATAAACACTTTTTTGGTTACTACATGATTCCATATGTGTTATTTCATAGTTTTGATGTCTTCACTATTTTTATTTTGTCCATAATAATCTCATCATGTAGTAGGCCAGGGCTATTCAACTGATGGCCCAGGGCCAGATCCTGCCTGTTTATTAATTTCTGAACATTAATAAAAGACCTGCAAAAACATTCCCGCCAACATCCGGTACTATGGTACTATGGTGGTTGTCTATAGTGTGGTTTTTTGTGTTTTTTAGCTGTTTCTAGCGCCTATGTGGCATGTTGATTCTTTTTTTTTCATATCAATTTGGCTCTAGCGTTTGACAGGTT